CGTTACCTTTTATGTCCAGATGCATATCTTCGCTTTTCATGGCTAGTCTCTGGATCTTCTATCCGAATGCACACTTTATTCTGTCTGAACGCAATTTCCAGAATGTCTCTTTTGCATCTCTTGAACTCTGAACTCCTTTCTTTTCTCGTGTGTCATCCCATTGGTCATAAAATCAACCTATTTACTTGCAAAAGTGCACCAACACTCCAAAAAAGAATACATATCCAAAACTCAATTAAATCAATGTAATTAGCCAACTACTAATATATAAATAATAGAATATTCATGGCTAATCAACTAGGACCTAATTAACATAAGCGTTTTGTTTTGTTGGGTATTGCAACCAAAGATGTCCAGATCAACTTACATGTAACTCAACTAATTTCCTCCTTACCTAGTCAAAGACAGACCATCACGCAGAAACTAGAGATTTCATGAGGAATAAATCTCTCATGGCTTGGTCTCAAGAGAGTTGACAAGTTTCGAACTCAAGATGTCTGACTTTACAATTCGTTACTGTTTCCATAAGGCTACCATGAGGTTACTGGTGTTTGTTTGTCTCTATTTATTTTTGCCAATTCGTAAGTAAGATTGTTAATTTTATACATTGACATAGACACGACATGACACGACAAAAAACATGAAAATGACACAACTAATTAGCATAAACAATAAATAGATCAAATTTAGGTTAGACACGAATAACACGATTGATTAGTATTGTAAGAAAAATAAAATTTTTAAAATTTTTTATATAATATTTTATGAGTTATTTTAGATTTAAATAATTTTATATTGACAAAAAAATAACACGACAAAAAATTATCACGATACGACATGAGATAAATCGATTTCCGGCTCATAAGTCCAATCTCACTTTAAGAATAAACTCTCAAAAGAACATCAATCAAACAAGAGCATGACGAAACGGCCATTTGTTTTGTATAGGTGGAATTGTAGCAATATATTCAATTAAAGTATCCTAATAATAGACGATCAAGTTGTAGATTTTTCCTCACCAAGAATTGAAATGCATACATTTTTCTATTGAACAAAATAGGCATGCCTTCCTGGTGGAACTAAAAATAAGGTAAAAAAAAACTGAAATAAATCACCTTCAGCTGTCCAGTGATGCACATCAGCTAATAGCTTATAGCAAAGGTTGACAACATATGAATGAGATTTAGATACTTAACAAAAGAGTAAGACAATGATACTAAAAGAGTTATTTCAACTAGAAATTTAAGTTAATTGGGACTGTTTATAATTCATCTGGGATTAAGTTAGAAGTTTTTAATAAAAATAACAGTACCATTGTTGTGTGGATTTCTACAATATGAAAAAATTAAACTTAAAAATATGCTAAATAGAAACAAATAAATCTGTTTATGCAGTTAAAAGCAATACAGTAACATATAAAATTGTATCTAACTCACACCTGAGTTGGCACAGGCGATGTGCGCGTGGTTGAACTGAAGTCCATGTAAGTGTTTGTTCCACTCAGTGAACTACAATGCCTCCTAGGGCCCAACCCACAAATCAATCTTCGAGTATATCTACTCACTCAATTTTCCTTTACCAGTCAATGTGAGATCAATAATGCTACATTAACCAAATTTTGAAATAAATTTAGAGCCCAAATAACATCACAACTTATTATTTGAAGTTTTTATTAGGGCCCAATGTCATGTCATTTGGGCTTCAAATTTGATCAGTGTAGCATTATTCATGTGAGATTGTTGTCAAATTTTATATTGTCCAACCTTTATTTTTCATATTTCAAGAAGATCACTTTAAAACCTATTTTTACATTCACCTTTTGAACAAGTGAATATACTACGTTATTCTCCTCATGTAGTAGAACATGAACCCACAAAAACAGACCATCAAGCGTAGACTAGAGAATTCGTGAAAAATAAATCTCTAATGACCTAGTCCCAATAGAGTAGACAAATTTCAAACCCAAAAAATTTGAGTTTACAACTCATCATTGCTTCCACTAGGCTACCCTAGGGTTATAAGCGTTTGTTTGTATGTGCTAATTTTGTAAATTCACAAGTAAGAGTATTAATTTTATGCATTGATATAGACGCGAAACGACATGATACGAAACGAAACATGAAAATTAAATAAATAATTAGTATAAATGATAAATAGATCAAATTAAGGTTAGACATGAATAATACGATTAACAAATATTATAAGAAAAAATAATTTTTTTAAAAAAAATTTATGAATTATTTTAGAATTGAATAATTTTATTTTGACACAAAAATAATATGACAAAAAAATCAGATGATATGACATGAGATAAATTGATACCCTGTTCATAAGTTCAATCTCCCTTTAAGAATAGACTCTCAAAAGAACATCAATTAAACAAGAGCATGGCGAAACGGCCGTTTGGTTTATATAGGCGGAATTGTAGTGGTATATTCAATTATGATATCTTAATAATAGACGACCGAGTCATAGATTTTTCCTCAACAAGAATTGAAATGCCAACATTTTTTTATTGAACATAATTGACATGCCTTCCTGGTGGAACTAAAAATAAGCAGAAAACAACTGAAATAAGTCACGATCAGCTGTCCATGGATGCTTATGTGCTAATGGCTTGTAGCAAAGGTTGAGAACATATAAACGAGATTTGGATTACTTAACAAAAGAGTAAGACAACGACACTTAAAGAGTTTTGCCAACTAGAAATTTAAGTTAATTGAGACTATTTACAATTCATCTGGAATTAAGTTAGAAGTTTAAAAAAAAAAAAAACCGTTACAACGTTTGGTGTGAATTTCTACAATATGGTAAAATTAAATTTAAAAATATTCTAAACACCCGACCTGGCACAGGCGACGTGCACGTGGTAGAACCGAAGCTTATAGAGGTTGGGGCTCAATCAATCCATTGAGCAAACTTGAAATATATTTACTCACTTAATTTTTCTTTGTCCAATCAATGTGAGATTGATATCAAATCACACATTATCCAACCTCTATTTTTCACATTTTAAGAAGGTTATTTGAAGTTTATGTTCTCATTCACCTCTTATTCGATTTGAATAAGTGAATATACTATGTTATTTTTCTTACGGAGTAAAACACGAAGCCACGAAAGCTGACTATCACGCGAAAATTAGAGAATTCATGAGAAATAAATTTCTCATGACTTGACCCCGAAAAAGTTAAAAAGTTTTGAATTCAAGACGTTTGAATTTATAGCTCATCACTGTTTCCATTAGGATACCTGGGTTATAAGCATTTGTTTATCTGTGTTTATTTTTGCCAATTCTTAAGTAAGTGTTTAATTTTATGCATTGACATAAATACGACATGCCATGACACAAAACATGAAAATGATACAAATAATTAGCATAAATAATAATTAGATCAAACAATGTTAGATATGAATAACACAATTAACTAGTATTTCAAGAAAAAAAATAAATTTTTTATATAACATTTTATGAGTTATTTTATAATTAAATAATTTTATATTGACACAAAAATAACATGACAAAAAATTAATAACATACGACATGGGATAAATTGATACACCTGCTCATACGTCCAATCTCACTTTAAGAATTGACTCTCAAAAGAACATCATTCAAACAAGTGCACGGCGAAACGACCGTTTGGTTTGTATAGATAGAATTGTAGTGATATATTCAATTAAAGTATCCTAATAATAGACCGCCGAGTTGTAGATTTTTTCTCAACAAGAATTGAAATGCCTACATTTGTCTGTTGAACAGAATTGGCATGCCGTCCTGGTAGAACTAAAAATAATCAGAAAACAACTGAAATAAGTCACAATCAACTGTCCAGGGTTCTTCTTTTAAGAAAAATTGATTTGTGAGTCCCTCGATGTGTGTCGGATTTTACCGTGTGAATTATTATGTATGTTTCTTCTGTGCATGTTCAGTCCAAAAAAATTATAGTCCAATCTCACATCGGTTGCTTTTCACCAGTTCTGTGAGTATAAGTAGAAGAATTGGTTTGTGGGTCCCTCTTTATGTGTATTGAGTTTTGCCGTGTAAATTGTTGTGTGTATTTCTTCTGTGCATGTTCTGTCCAAAAAAACTATAGTCCAATCTCACATCGGTTGTTTTTCACCAGCTCTGTGAGTATAAGTGACTCACTACCAATTATTCTTTAAAGAAGAAATGGTTTGTGGGTCCCTCTCTATGTGGGTGTTGAGTTTTGCCGTGTGGATTGTTGTTGTATTTCTTCTGTGCATGTTCTGTCCAAAAAAAAAAAAAAAAACTATCCAGAATTGCTTATGAGCTAATAACTTAAAAATGTGTTAAACAGAAACAAATAAACCTGTTTTTTATTCATTAAAAAACTGGTTTGATTCCAACAACAACTTAATTAGATCAAATGGATAGCTAAAAGAAATCAAAATTCATCCTAACATATTAAAATTGATCCTAAATAATTTTATTTCATCCCGTACCTAATCCTAATTTAATGGAACAAGAATTTTGGTTATAAAATTCATGTTTTATTATGAATAACTTATATCCCTTGTTTAATTTTTTAATTTTATTCCAATAGATAATATAATTGTAAACTAATTATGATTTTTTAATAAAAAATTAGACTTTTATTTTTGATTTTATTTTTATAAATGATATAATAAAACATAAATTTTGGTTGAAAAATTTAAAATATTTTGATATTCTAGCTTGGATTGAAGAATTTTTTGTTCAAGTATAATATTTTAAAATTGAGGGGTATAAGTATTACACGTTTATAAACTTTAAGAAGTTTTGGTATAATTTACTAATTGATATTTATGGCAGAGATCTAAGTGTAACACATGTACAAATTTTAGAGAATATATATATAATATTTTAAATATCAAGGGATGTGAGTGATTAAGTGACATATCTCATGGGTCTAAATATAATTTTCTTATAAGTTTAAAAGCTACCATAACTGGCTATAAAAAGTTGAAAAGCCCTTTATTTATGTCTGCACACACACTCTCTTTCTTTCACGCGACCACACCGTAATCGAACCCCCTATCTGCTACTCTACCTCCAGCTAACCGTCTTACCAGTAAACACCACCGGCGGCCTATCATCCGACGACGACGACTACCTTAGTCGGAGGTAATTTCAATAATACGTACCAATATAATATATGTATATATATTCGTCTTTAAATTCGATCATTTGATTTGAATTTTTGACTCTATTAAACTAGCTTCTCTTGATCGTCAACATATAGTCTAAATGCGATTCATACATATGGCGTCTGTTATTTGTATGTAATTGAGTACTCTACACTCATTTTATTTTGCTAAATTATTTGTTTTGATGTTTTTTGGTCCCTTGGAGCGCCCAAAGCCCAAACTATGATCTACAATTAATGAAAAAGTCGGTGTCTTTTTTTCATCTTTGATTTTTTTCCCTATTTCTGACCAAATGTTTTTTTGTTAGTACTAATGTCCTTTGTTTTACCTTGTATTGGTTTTTTTTTTTTATTGGTTTGGTTCATAAATTGTCAGCTTGGTATGTAGTTCAGTATTTATCTTTTCAAGAATCTCATTCAGTCTTTATTGAGGATTTGTAATTCTTTGTTTCTGCACTAAGCAGGCCAGTTGGTCACTCTATAGTCTTAACTTAATTATTATGATCATTTCTCTTTTTACAGATTTAGTTGCTAATCGATCTAATTTATTTGTCAACAAGTAAGGAGTTATAAGTGACTCTTTTTACTTTGAATTTATAATTCTGAATGGTTCTTACATTTAGTGTGTTCATTAATGTTGGATTAAGCCGTAGAATTGTAGTTTTGTTTGGGATTTGCAATAACATTTCAATTGCCTCTGTGTCGTAACTAAGAGAGTGGGGAAGAAGGCAACAGTGGAAAAAGTTCATGTCAAATGTAGCTTAGCTGTTGCATAACCTGTTGTTTGCTCTCTCTTCATTCCATTCCACCTAACTTCCATGCCTGAATCTCATCAAGTGTTTTTTATGGGGTGGAAAAGTGAGGTCCACAAAGAAACACCATCTAGATGTTGACCCGTGGAACTTTATTAACACTTCCCTCTTCCTCCTAGTCAACGTGGGATAGAACAAATGGAGGATCTCCATTTAAAAAGATTTTATTTTTATGCTAGGTAAGAATCATAGGCAGTGAGAAGTTATTTTTTTTTTCTTGTTGATTATTAACTCTAGGTTAATACCATGTAAACTTGATGCACTTGTGCTGATTCAACAAATATAATAGTATGAAGCAGGACTTGACCTTGTGAATATTCTCGATCTGCTACCAAGCTGATTAGATGTATTTGTTTAGTTTAGCCTCCACTGGTAATTTTTCTCGTTTTTAGTATTTGGGCTTTTTGAATTGAGGCAATCAGATAAAAAGGAATTGGTTTCTATGTTTGTTGATATAGGACTTCTTAATCTCATTTGGCCCATTTGGTCGAAGGAGTATGTAGCTCCTCCTCACATATTAACTTTGTTCTAATAGTTTTTCTTTAGTTTATACCTATAGAACTCTTTTTCTTTTTCTCTTTGTCATTTGTATTTAGTGTAGTTAGCTATTGAGGACCTGTTTTCTGTAATTCATATCAAAGCTCATTTTATATGAACAGTTACTTTTTTATGAGGAGGAGTTTTTTTTTTTAAAAACCTGTTTGAAGCTGTGATCAGAGAATTTCTGTTTTCAGGAAGCGTTTGGAACCCTACTTGTGACAAGAGCATGGTATTTAAGCTCTGTGATGTGAAGCTTAACGAGGCTTACAATGGAATTGCCACGTGGTTTCTTCAGGACTCTTTGCACAACTAGATGATGGAAGAAGTATGGTAATCTCCACCGTTCATTTTTATTCTCTGTTTCCTTCAGGAAAATGCGGCGTTCCAGTTAGTTTTTTGCAATGCCGTTTAGGGGCCTAGTGTTCTGCTCATGAGATAGTTTTGTGAATTAGATAGGATTGTATTCTCGAGTGGAAGCCATAATTTATCTTGATTAATGGAATATAAGTTTGTTGATGGGTTGCTTATTAAGGTGATCTTTACTGGTGTGATTGATTCGCTCACACGGTCATGATTAATGGTTGAAGATGAGACCTTTTTTTTCCCCTTCTCTCTCTCTCTCTCTCTCTCTCTCTCTTCTCCTTTTTCGTTTTTTTATTTTGTTTTGGGTTGGGGTGGGGAAGGGAGGATTTGGTTAGCAAGTGTAATATAAGCATGAGAGGGGTAGCCATAGCCATGGTTCAAAGTCGTCACAGTATCGACCATCGCCTCTAGGGCTCTAAGACAATTTCGTCGGTATTGGGTGATTTATATAGAAATTGTGGCTTCGCAGAATGACATTGTTAAATTTAATGGCAGTCATTAGGGATGACTCTTTCAAATAACTCGGTCAAGTTGCGTGAGACTCGTTGGTCACATGGAACATGAATTAGTATCTGGTTCTGGCCAGAAGATGGCGAGTCAGGATAAGGATCGGCCAACTGGGATCGGTATCACCCTTTTTTGTGGAACCATGGGGGTAGCTCCTATCCAAAAGAGAAAAAAAACCTAGGGTATGATGGAGGGAGACCATCCATAGCGAGGTGAGAACAATTAGCTTTTAAGGAATGGTTAACTGTGTGATAAATTCGCAATAATAGTAGTCATAAATTTGCCCCGATGATTTGGCACTTAGTTCTATGCTTCTATTATGTTTCATAAAGCGCCCTTGTATCTTCTGATTTTCTTTTTAGAATTAGAGTTCAGAATTAGCACACCCATTTTAAGCTAGCCATTTGGATCTGTTATATCATGTAAGAAAGATTGTATTATGGCTAATGTGTAAAATGACCACATGTTCGGCCAAGGTAGGGGTTCTTGGCCTTGAATTTGAGTTGGACCAACAGTTTTGTTGAAAGATTGTATTATGACTAATGTGTAAAATGACCACATGGTCGGCCAAGGTAGGGGTTCTTGGCCTTGAATTTGAGTTGGACCAACAGTTTGTACAACAAAATAAGGTTGATCTTATACCCATTTTTTAAGATTTAACTGTCCCAGGTCTGTTTCCATAGAATACATTCCCAAAGTGTATACAAGCCAATTCTGAACATTTTTTTAGACTCGTTAAAATATGAGCCGAGCCCAAGCTGAGGTTGTGAGCTCATTTTATTGCCTTCCTAGAACATTTTGGGTTTTTGCATCTCCCAGTTTTTTACGCATTTCACCTGAAATAGGCATCTAGAGACTAGAACTCGTGGTTTTATCATATCTTACCCTACTCACTGTCTCTCTTCTCATTTCAACATGTCAAACCATAAACTCTCTCTCATCTCTCATACTTCCCAGGTACACCACCACCTAAAGCTCCTTGTATATATGTTCTCTCTCTGATTCATATCTCAGATCAGTTCCTGTACAAACAACTTCTCTCTTTGATCCTCTAGGACCTTGACCCTCAGCCTCTCCTTCTTGACAAATAAATCTTCAAGAAAGAGACCCTAGATCTGTTCTTCTCGAGCTATGTTGCGTGTCTCCGTTGTGAAAACAAGATTGCAAAATAGTTACAAACATTGAAGCTTCTTCCTTTATTGGAAGATATTCTTAGTAGACATTGTGTTCACTCATCTTGTTGTAGTGAATTATTCTGTTTATTTTGAGGCCTTCTCTTGATTTATTTTGGTTTTCTGTTAAAGTTATGCTAGATGCATGTCACATGTTTGACAAAATGCCCAACTGGGTCGTGATTCTTGAATTACCCTTTTCTGTCCTGTTTTGTCTTCCAAGTGATTCAATTTTTTTTGTTACTATTATATATATATGTGTGTGTGTGTGTGTGTGTGTGCACGCGCGCGCCCATATCACTCCGTCACTGCCCCAGTTTTTGTATTGCTCCTATAGTATGTATCCAATAATCTGATGTTTGGAGAATAGATTGTTATGTAGTTTGTTTGATAGTTTAAAATTGGTTTAATGTTCCTGTAATTGGTCTATTTGGTTAAAGGGATTAATTAGACATACGAGCCTGAATTGCTCGTTCTACAACCAGCTGAGAGTGAACAACATTTCAGTCTCGAGATTCAAGTCCAAGTCGAACTCAAACACCCCTCCTAAATTACGGGTTGAGCCTGAGCACCCTAAGGCTCAGGCTTGTCAAGCTCAGGTCGTTTAACACCACTAAGTCTAAGCTTTCTGTTGAAGTCCACTATGTTGTATATTTAATTCAAAGTTGTGTGAAAATTTTCATTGCATTTATCTTGATCCTGCTCATGTAAAATGACTTCAAATGGAAAAGCAATTAGATAGAAGTACCTGGGGTGTGATCGCATGAAGCTGAAAGAACTTGCATTCCTTCAGAAGGTCGTCAACATCTTTTGTACATCTAGACTTATTTTATGTCCAAGGTGCTCTATATGTCAGAAATTTTTCAAAATCTTGTACCATATTAATGCTAACTATATGCTGAAAGTTTTCTGCTCTCTAATGCAAATATATCCATTTGGCAGGAAATATTGTTAAAGCATCTTTGGGATGACATGCAGGCTCAGTTCTTAGTGCTAGTCTTGAATAGCTTGCAACTTTTCCAGGTCTGAAACAAAACGAAGAGTCCTACATCCATTTCCCTGCAATCAAAGCACAATATTCTGGATCTTATTAGATTTTTCTTACAGAAACATATTCATTCGGGTAATTTGGGGAAAATGACAGAAATCTTCTCCTACACAGCTTGCAGACAATTATCACAAATGTTTTTTTCAATAATCTTCTTTCATGTTTCTGAATACATTCTAGCAATCTCAATCCATGGGAGATCAAGAGTAACCCTTAATTCTCTTTTAATCAGCAAAAATTATCTCGTGGCAATGATTTTCTCATTGCTAGAGTACTTGCTTGAAATTTATTTTTGCCCTGGGTTGAAGGAATACTGGTGGATAAGTAACTTTGGCCTTGCAATGGTTGTTTTTGGGGAAATCATACGGAAATTGGCAATTTTAACTGCTGGCAGGTCCTTCACTCATCTTATCAAGATTTATCACGAGGAGGATCACAAATTGGTTACTCAGGGGGTGTATAGATTTATTCGTCATCCAGGATATTTTGGTTTCTTCATCTGGTCAGTTGGCACTCAGATAATGATCTGTAATCCGGTATCTATAATTGCATTTACGGTGGTTGTTTGGCTCTTTTTCTCCGACCGGATACCATATGAAGAGTACTTCTTGAGACAGTTTTTCAGGTCACAATATGAGGATTATGCACGAGGTGTTTGGTCTGGGATTCCTTTTGTGAAGTGAGAAATGCCCAAAGTTTGTAATCAGGGCTTCCTTGCTCAATCCTTCTCGGTTCGTGAAGAATGCTTCAAAGCCTTCTTTCATAATGTATCTCTCTAATCGTGGTAGTTTCAGATATGTTCCTTCAGGCTTCAGATTGGTTTGTTGTGTATGTTAATTTGGCATAAAGACTTGATGGGGAATATTGGCTTCGATTGAAATATCTGGTCTTTTGGGTGATATGACTTACCAGTTCTCAATCTTTACCCAATGGAAAGAGTTGTAAGAGTTATCTTATGTTGTAAGACTTATCTGTAAATGACATTGTTTTAACTTCCCCATAAATAATGCCCATGCCCCAAGTCTGTATTCATCTCTCTCTCTCTCTCTCTCTCCAACCACGAACCCAACTACCACTGCCTACCATAGCTAGCAACTCCGCTGCTGCCGACCACCACTAGTTTCTCTCCTCTGCTGTCCAAGCTTCTCAAGACGAAAGACGTGGGGATTAGATTGGAAGGCTTATGGATTGGCCAAGACGTCGGGTAAAGCCTGTGGGCAAACCTCATATGTGGTCCTCAACGCCGAATCTACAGCTTTTGGGTAGAAGATTGGTGATGCTTAGACACCAATTCCTGTAGAATCTTCAAGCTTAGGACTCGAGGTTCAACGATTGCATAGAAGTGAGGGGCGTGTTTGGTTTAGTTTTTTAAAAGCTGTTTTTAGTTTTCAAAATTTCAAAAAATTTAAAACTTGTTTGTTTAGTATTTTTTTCTTAACTTCTTGGGAAAAAAAATGAGAATTAGATCAAAAAAATGAAAAACAAGTTACACTTATTTTTTGAGTTTTCTTTGAAAATGTTGGAAACATGGAGAACAAAAATGGATTTTTAATGCGGTTTGCCATTCGAGTCCCCTTTGAGCTAAAGGCTTGTTTTTTTTTTTTTTTTTCCTTCCTCTCTCTCTCCAGCGTTTTCATCTTCTTCTCCACCGAAGATTGCTGTCCCCTTAGTAGCACCGAAAATCGCTGTCAAACCCAGCGTCTCCATCTTCTTCTCCACCGAAGATTGTTGTCCCCTTAGTAGCACCGAAGATCGTTGTCAAGCCCAGTGTCTCTGTCTCCCCATCTCCATCTCCTCTCTCTCTCTCTCGTAACAATTAAACTTTAGATCTATGTAAATCTGAAGCACAAATCTGTGTAGATATGTGTTTGGTTTGAGTCTGTATGTGTATGCGTGTGTGTATGTGTGGTGTGTGTGCGCGCGCGCGCACGTGTTTGTGGATTTTGTGAAGACAAACAAAGGGGAAAGAAAGATAGAAATGGTAATTGTGGATTTTGTAGGTTATTGTCCAAACAAATTTTATATTTTTTTGTTTTTTAAAATTATTTTAAAAAATATATAACCAAACATGTTTTGTAATCTAAAAATTTTCAAAAATATTTTCTTAAAATTCTTCTCAAAAATTATTTTTGAATACTGATTTTTGAGATACAAACCAAACAGGCTCGAGATTTCTTATTTTTTAGTAGTTCATGAGTTAGAATGTTTAACGATTGGATACAACTAACCTTGTACTGACAACCACGTGAAGCTCAACGGACCCTAAAGGGCTACATTGGATCAAACTCAATAGTTCCAAGGCTTAATTAATATAAATATTATTTAAAAAATTCTTAATAAAGTGCAGGGGTCAAAGAGATAAGTTGAGGGAAGGATTATTCCCACATCAAAATATTAATTTTTTCACTAGAATCCTCATTTTGGTAACGTTTTTTCAAAATTTTTTTTAGAGTAAAAAATTAAATTTGATAAAATTTACACTCATACATGAATGCACTAATACACTAACACACATACACACACTAATATACTAAAATGCACACACACAAACACGCTAATACTCCATAATACAGTAGTTTGTCTTTGTTTATTTTGGTGCATTAATGTGTGTGAGTGTGTATATTTTGGTGTATCAGTGTGTATTCGGTGTATTCTAGCATGTATGTGGTGTGTTTTAATGTATTAATATTAACTAATGTAGTACCGTTCGGACTCCACTTGCACTATTTGAACGCAATCATTAAATTCAGAATTGTTGACTTATCAAAGTCAAGGTCAAAATCGAAGATGGAATAAGACCGTTCGAAAAGCAGCATTTATTGTCCTTCCGCGAGTATCAAAATGCCATTTCCAAAGAGTTTTAGTTGTCCAAACACTATTATTACTATTCGGACACAAATTTGACGATACGTACTCCAGTCATCTAACGCAAGTATCATTGTTCGGACGCCGCTCTGAAGATAAGAATTCAAGTCACTTTTCACTGTTTGAATGTGGACAACACTATTGGACGTGCCTTTTTAAAAGTCAGTGACCCCAATGTCGAAGTTCAAGATTTTTAGAGAATTGTTCCTTGGCCTAAACCTAGGTTATTTTCTATAAATAACGAGCTCTCATCTCTTGAGAGAGCATTCTGGGATCATTATTATTTTCTTATTTTTGCTTTCAAGTATTTTTATGGCTAGTGCGTAGTTTATTCTATACTCTTTAGTTAGGGTATGGATATTAGATTGTGAATTAATTATTTATATTTTTATGCAATTATTTTTCATATACTTTAATGTTATATTTCCTTGGAAGTTTAGATTAATTTAAATGATAGTTAATAAAGTTTTATGCTCTGTATAATTGTTTGACTATTCATTAACTTGATTGAGTTCTTGGTATGAATAGTACTTATGATTCGCTGCGAGTTTCATTAAACTTGCTCTTAAATTCTTATTTTTAGATTAATCGCCTATTATTTTTTCAAGACCAAATCTTCCAGTTGACTACATTGAAATTGAAAATCAATTGAGAAAATTGTAATTACATAAACATATTTAATTGATGATCACGAATAGATGCAAATCCAAAACTAAATAGTCACTTTTCCAATTAATAAATCACTTTTAAATTCTCTATTTCATTTTATAAAGCAATCTCAATCTTCAAAGTAAATTTTATTTGTTCTTCTTTTCTACTCTTTTGATTTAATTGATCCCTGTGGTTTGACCTCAGAATTCCCGAGTATTATTATTTCTTGATCGCCTGTACTTTTGGGGAATCAAGTAATTAGTGTGTGTGTCTGCGTATTTTGATGTATTAGTGTGTGTATGTGTATGTGTGAGTATATGTTTTTTGGTCTATTACTCTGTGTGTGTGTGTGTGTGTGATTTTTAGTGTATCAGTGTGTGTGTTTGGGTATATTAGTGTGTGTGTTGGTGTATTAGTGTGTGTGTGTGTGTATGTATGTGTGATGTTGTATTAGTGTATATGTGTGTGTTTTAGTGTATTAGTATGTGTGGGGGTGGGTGTATGTGTGTTTGTTTCTTGCTTTTTTTTTTAATGGAGTCGCTATTGCCGGCTAGGATAAAGTCTCTTGCGTGAGCGAAGGAGATACATTTCTGATAGTGGTGGTATTGGACAAGCTCTCAGGGAATAATTTCTTTCCTATTTCTGCCTTTCTTTTAAACACAGTGTTGGAAATGAACAGAGGAGTGGTGGAACATGTGGAACCATATATTGGATCATTCCAGTGTAGCACGAAGTCGCTAATGCCACTAGCTATGCCGTACTTGGTCCCCCAGCACGGTACAAATTTTGTTGCGTTTCATGAGCATGGGGCTAAGGGGAAGTTGATCAACTTAAACAAATTGCCATACCTTACTACAACATAGGGGCAGAAGGGAGAAGGTAACTTGTTATCCACACCTTTGGTCAGATGAATAGAGGACCGACCTACCCGTGTTTTTACGAGTGTTAGCGGATTCTTGAGTGTCTGCCTAGGGCGCTAGCGCATACCCCGAGGTGATCATCACCACCCACACACATCTCAACATAATGAAACGTGTAATACACTTACTGTTCCATTTGAAAATGCTGCAGGCGCAAAGTGTGGTAGGCCTGCACTAGGGAAACATAGCACAGGGAGGAAAGGGAACCTGAACGATGGAGAACCCAGGGGTGGTGGGGACATTTGACGAAAATGGGAGGCTTTTCTTTATTAAAGAAGGCCCTATGGAATAAAAAGAAGTGCATGAATTCTTGAAAAAAGAGGGAGCGAGTCTATATAAAACAAAAGTTTCAAGAAAATTCAATGAATAGATAAAGTCAACGGCACGACAGATAGGGTTGCCTACACGTGAATTAACTTCCGAGGTCAAGTAGTACTCAATTTCCACTTTAGGATTTGCAAATAAATGTTAGATTGGGCTACCTCGAATGGAGTGAGCACCAAGATGGGAGACACGCATGTACAGTTTTTAGGAGGATCTGGTCAAAAGACCAGTCGTAGGCCGCCCACCTGACTAGAGGAACTGAGAAATTAATAAAGTACAAAATATATTCATTAAGCTTTACCTTGTTTTGATCATTCAGAGGGAAATTGCAGGGTCACTGAATGAAGTCCTTTGTTTCTTTCAGAGGTGCTGTTACCTGAATAGAGACAGAGATGACGATATGACATATGAAATATGATAGTGACAATAACATATCGTAGAAGGATATAACAGGTAGGAGCCAACACTCACTAAGATTGACGCATCTACAACTACATCTTTGAGCCAACAGTTAAACGAGGGGCGTAATGCAAGATGCCAGCGGAACGATCATAGTTCTTAATAAGGAAGCTAGACATTTAAATTTTAATCCCTACATATTGTTTTTGTTTTTGCCTATTTCTATCACATTACTCATTTTTTATCACAAGCTGAATCATTTTAATTTTTGATTAATTTTGTGATTCAATACAACTTTCATTACAAATAATGTTCATATACAAATAGTATGTTATTTCTGAGTTAATTTTTTTTTTTGAGGTTATATCATTTTAAGAAAGAGAAAAAAAAAAAAATACTATTTAATATAATAAGAATAAATTTTTTGAACGGTTAAATTTTATGTTTGATCGTGTCTTTAGACACATATTCTTGTATGTACATTAAGATTAATCTACTTATAATATTTCCTTAATTTTTTCATATAAAAATTGTGGTGAACTCACCTTTGTTTTTTTTGTCATCCGACACCACTTATTCTTCTCTGAGCATCTACGACTCTTACCCTTTTTTGTACCCAAATTTTAATTTGGGTAGTCTAAAATTTTTCTACAATGGTAGACTTATACTCGTACCAAATGAAGAAAAAAACCATTTTTTTTAAAACTCAAATCAAGGGAAACTCTTTTTTAAACCTAAAATTTTAATGGTGAGACCATCGTTTAAAGATCCAATGGTTATATTTTTACTTTTTTTTTTAATTTGAATTTGTTCTCATTTAAATTTGAGTTTCTCTTTCTTTTAAAAGGTTT